CTAAAGAACCATGAATCGGTCTGAAAGTATTACAGGGAGAAGGTTTGTGAGAAATATCTCTGCTTTAAAAAAAAAAAAAAGAAAAAAGAAAAAGAAGATGAGTGGTGGTGAGCTGGTCTATCCATTCCAGAGCAGCAGAAGAAGTAGAACATCAGTGTTGAGTGATTAGAATAACAACAGTGAGCAGACACAAGTATAGATCTCTGCTGTGGAACATACGTGACCACCGACGCCATTTTTCAGCCGCCTGCCACCGCACGTTTGATCTACCTCTATTTCTTCATGTCGGCAGCCGTGTGCGTATGTTCGTGCACGCACACGTGCACACACCGAGGCCTGTCCTCCCCCACATGAGGTTGTGCGGGAAGTAGGGAGGCAGGGGAGGGAAGCTCTTATATTAATGGCTGCGGTTAACCTGGAAGGGTCAAACCCATTGGAGCTGTTGATGGATCTGGTCTGCAGGAGCTCTCTCACTCTCTCTAACACACAAACACACACTGAGTGCATGATCAGTCTGTGCATGTCCAGTCGCAACGAGATCACCACCGCCATGCAGAGACATAAAAGATGATGTGGAGGGCAGGGCAGCAGGGATACAGAGGTGGTGGGAAAAAAAGCAAGATGATGGATACAATAAAAGAACACATTGGAGTTTTAGTTATAGGCATGTTGTCCAGAGACAATGGAGGAGGATAACACGTCAGTGGATGAGGTGGGTCAGTGGGTGGAGCGACAGGAGCTGGACAAGAAGGAAGTCAAAATAGAGAAAGAAAATGCCCTTTTTATGGAACCTTTGACCATCGTGGCTATATGTGAGATAACTGTATAGATACATCATATCACTGAGAGATACTGCTAGTGCAGCTCCACAAAAACACTGATGAGAAAGATTTTACAAACTCTCTATCATTCACTTTTTAAAGTTTTTCTTAGAGCTGTTGTCAAATTCAGTGATAGGACATGAGGTTCTGGCCTTTCAGAACAAATCCTTACCTAAACAACCCGAACAACTACAACACAAGCAACTCAAACTACCTGTTTAGAGAAAGACTTCAGTTATTGTTAAAGTTCCTCTCTGGTCATTGATTAAACCACTAAAAACTCATCTCTTTGCGTCAAAGCTGTATATTTAGATTTATTTTTGTCCATTAAAAAATAATCTATTCCTGCCTTAACATTACTTAGATGAAAGTCTACATCAGTGCTTCTTCAAAAATGCGCAAGTGGAAAATGTTCAGCCATGATGTTGACTGCTCGTGTCACTCATGATGTGTCATCATGCATATTAAACACACCATACGCACATACTAACAAGGTAAAACAATCTGATTTTCACTGGAAGGGAAAAGAAACAAATGTTTACTCTTAGCAGAAGACAAAATGCTAATTAGGGTCACTGATGTCAAAGATACAAAACAAATGGTTCACCCAGCTGAACCTTTGCTTTTCAGAGACAGCACTGACAGGAAGACCTGGAATCAGGTAGTTTAAGGTGTCTAAACAAAAGATGCTAGTGTTTTCTGGTGAAGAGGGTTTTCTCAGAAAGGTCAGCAGAGGTCAGGAGTAACATGGCATGCTGCCCTGTACATACATGGATGTAGTTGTGGTGGTTGGTTAGCATTTCAGACAAACATTGTCATGACCCCCCAGCCTTGGCCCTGGCCCTTGTCTGTCTCCCTCTTGGTCTCTCCCTGTTCTCCTTCTCTCTTCCTGTCAGTACTCATGAGTTCATCAGTGACAGCTGCTGTAATTGACTCACCTGGATCTAATCACCACTGCTCCATAAAAACTAGCTCATCCCTCCACTCTCTGCCAGATCATCGACTCAGTTACCTGTTTCCCTGCCACTGCTACTCTGCTGCCATGCCATAGAAAATCTCCACACTGCCTCGGATTCTTCAGCTGCTTCTTGGTTTGCCATCCACCATCCAATCCTGCCCACAGCCTGTGCCTGCCAAGCCCTCGTCACCCTGACCTGTTCTGCCTGATCCTGACTCCCTCCCCACAGCTGGTCTGCCATTCCCTTTGTACCCTGTTTTGTTAACTTGAGCCAGCCTTTGTATATTTGTCTCTCTGTTAGTTTAATGATCTTTAATGTTTTTCTAATTTCACCCCTTTTTGGTTTTAGGTTTGGTTGCTTAATATTTAGTTTCCTTTACAGCTAGTGTCCCCTATTCTTGTAAGTTTTGTTAATCATTTAAAATAAACTCTGTAATTTCTTGATTTGTCTCTGCCTGTTCCTGTGTCTGCACTTGAGTTGAAACCTGTTTCATGACAAACATAGGATCAACCAAGGACCGCTCATGTACAATAACAATGTAAGTCTGGCTCTGTTACCTCTTGCAGTAGTGACCTGTAAACTAACTGGTGCTTGCACAAACACCTGGTCAGTATTAAGAGAAAAATCTGACACCCAATAATAGGATAAATGAGGACAGAAAGAGTGATGCATGGAAGAAATATCCCCGAGGTAACCTGATGGATTTTTGTTTTTAGTGTAAAATGGCAAAAAAAGAGTTAAATATTTAATGAGGTCTAAATAATGATAGAACAAGTGTTCAAACTGTCTTCAGAATCCTGAAACGCTATTAAACGTATATACTATGTTGGAAACAATAAAAAGAATACAGATAAGTATTATGGACTTCTGAAACTGTAAATTCAGTGTCTTTTGGTTTGTGTATTTCTGCGCCTAAAGTCATGTTTAGAGACTGCAGCTGTTGTCCTCCTTAGATCATCAGTAATTTTTCACCATTTAACACATTACTACGACAAGACTTAACTATCATAAGCTGCTGTCAACTTGCCAAATAATCAGCGCTCAAAAGACGTGTCTAAGAATGGCTTACAATGCGTCAGACTTAAGCTAAAATGCAGCTTTAGTTATCATTCAAGTCAATGGCATGTGATAAAGACTGGCAAATACATATCATATTCAGTATAGATGACTTTGATGCTGTGAGCAGTGTCTCTGTTTGATGTCCACACTAACAAAGCTTTCACTACTATATTATGGAACACATCCTACGCTGTTTCCCTGCACGCTTCAGGATCAAAGCCTCCGTGTTATGATGCGTGCAGATAAAGCTCTTGGTTTTGTATTTTTGAATGGCAGCGACCAGGAAGTACCCCAAAGAAACAAACTTGTGTCCAAACTGAAGCATCTGACACAAGTTACAGTCCTAATTAAATCAAGCCCACTGTTCCTATAGACAGGGTTTCCCTAAGAAAAAAGGCTCTCCACCACCGATTGCGATCTCAGAGCAAAACAAAAAGATGATGTCAGTGAGGAAACAGAGGAGAAGGAGAAGACATGCTCCCAATTACTTGACAGAAGATAGATTAAAGAACAGTGACTGTGTTTCACAGGAAGATGTAGTGTTGGGGCCTTGTGGAAACGGCTACTATTGATGAATAAAGAGTTGAACCGAGTTTAATGAGCTGACATGGATGTTCCCAGACTATGAGGGTGGGACCAAAGTTTGGATAAGATGAGGTTGGTTGTACTGCATATTTATCTTACTGTCGTCAGATCCCATTCAGAATCAAGTCCAGCAGTTAATCTATACTCATAAGTATTATCTCAGCATAGCCTGATATATCTTGTAGTTAAAAACGCATCCGTAAGCTGCACCACATTAGTAGGAGACAAGTTCCTTCTTTACCATAAATATGGGAACTGTAGTTTATTTGAGTCAGTCATATACAGTCCTCCTGAAAGATATACAACTAAAATATGCTTTAATCCACTGATTAAAAAAAAAAAAAAGTCCATAAAACATGCACTATTACATATAACCTTTGATGAAACTTATTCTGCAGCTTATTTGTTTTTCTAAAGTTACTATATTTGTGACCATTTTTTAAAGCTGTACATGTTCAGTATGAGGCAGTGGGCTTAGAGCCAATGAGAAAGCACACAGACAGACTGGCACATGGCTGGTTTGGGTTTTGCTGAGATTTAGATAATAAAGAAAAATTCCAGCTTTGTCCCTTACAGTGCAGTGGTATAATGCTGACATGATTCACTGTTAATCAAGCAGTGACAGAATTTAAATCCACAGTATTGATGATTAGCTGATCATGTGTGTCATTAATCCAGCAAAAATACTGGTTTTGGCTTATCTTTGTAAAAATGAATTAGCAGAACTTAAAAGGGATGTTCCAATATTTTCTGACATTTTATCAGAAGACTACACAATCAACAAAGACATAAATAATCAGCAATAAAAATATTGCTTAGTTGCAGCCCTACAGCATACAGTGGTGTAACTGGAAGTGACAGTAATTAAAGCCTTGTAACTGAAGACAGTTATATTTCACATCACACAAAATATCTATTAATGATGTGTGTTATTCAAATACATTGAATTAAATGAATCATTTTTCATTCATCTGTTGGAAATGTAGGATTTTAATTGTCCGGCAGGATGCAGTCAGCGGCCTTCCATATTGTCAATACATTCAGCAGAAATGCAACAACGCTGCATTAGTCTGCCTCTCAATAGCTCCGACTTTCCCAGCCTTCCTGTAGCAATCAGCTCCAATGCCACTGACGCCTACTGAAGATGAAAATCTTCAAAAACTGGCTTAAAATAGCAAGCTTAATTTTTAACAAGCAATTTCCTTTAACTGCTGGGCTCTGTTGTTTTTAGCAGTTTCTCAAACCAACGTAAACGGCGAACTAGCTGGAAATATTCAGCTGCACAGTACACAAGTGGTGCTCCGTATGGAATAGACTCGTGAAAAAAAGACCATAGTGCCAACGTTGACCATAATGATGGATAATAGCACACTGATGTGTCTGATACTCTCTGGATGACAATAAGTCTCTGTGGCACAGAGGAATAAAGTACACTATGTGGGCCTTTGATACAAAGACAATACAAACAATTAATTGTAGGTTTGGGTGTTTTCATGAAGTTTGTTGACAGTAACAGCTAAATTTCACCTGCCCTACCTTTCATTGTAATCCTTGAAAAAGTGCAGTCATACCAGGATCAACTGACATTCATTTATTATACTTCCACCAGGTAGATTTAAACACAAACACAATTCAAAAGCCCACCTCCTTAGCCTGCATTGTGTGCCTGTGATACAGCACAAAGGCAGAAAAAACAGAGATTACAGAGCTTCGCTGCAAAGCACACAGACACGTTAGTACGTCAAGTCAGTTTTTCTCCGCCCTGCTCATCTTCCGTCCTGAGCCGGAACGAGGGAGGAGGAATAAAAACGCAGGTACAGAAAGCTTACTCACAGTGCTTAGGAATACTGAAGTGGTTTGGGACCCCTCCCTCAGGATCCACATGAGTCCACACTGGGATTGAATCCCACTGGAGCCTTTAGTTTTTACTGTCTCACTTTTTTACTCCCCAACATCCAACAGTGAAGAGAGCTTCTGCATATCACAGCTCTCTCCTCCACAAGCGCTCATCAAACATCTCTTCGGACCAGACAGGACATTTTGTGGACTAAAGAAATGACAGACATTACCCTGAAACTCTGAATGATAGGGATATATTGCTTTGACTATATTAGGGTTTCCCACTTTCAAAACAAACTGTCCTGTCAGCTTGCTGCAAGACTCTTTTTAATGACTGTCCTGCTCTGCCCTACTTATACAACCACAGCTGATTTTCACATCTTAGCTATTTAAGTTTTTGCTCCCAGCTTGAGCTTATTGACTTGCTGCTATTCAAATATGCAGAGACCCATAAATCCTGGTACATTATTATCTAACACATGGAGTTGCTTGACTCAGCAGATAAAAATTGGTCAGAGTTTGATGTAGATTTTTTTTAAAAAGAGGACAAAAAAGTGTTTGATCTTCACTGTGAGTGACAAACAGCTTTTTGTGAATATGATTTCAGGCTCTTTAGGGAAATCCTACATTTTGTAAAAATTGGAAACTCTAAAAAATTATTTTTTCATTCATTATCCAGACTTTCCAGACATTCACAGGAACGCTGATCACATGGCCCAGGAGATGTTGGCGGTGTGCTCCTTGGCCTTCATGCGCAGCACAGCGATGCTGGATGAGCGCCTCTCGAACTCAGGCTTCGTCTCAAAGGCCGGGTGGCTGTTTGCAGCCGGCGTGAGGAGGGAGTCTGCACTGAAGAAATTGTTGAGAGAGACGTGGCCAAACTGGTTCTGCTGATTGGGGAAGCCCACATAGCCGTGGTCAGCAGCACCGGCAGCCGAGCGAGGGGAGTGTGAGTAAGACGTGACGCAGGGAGGGGAACCTCTGGGCAGCATGCAGGAGGAGACCACGGAGCCACCGGGAGCCGGGCTTGGCCACAGGTTGTTTGGGATCTGTTGGATAAACACAGAGTTAGATACTGGAGGAGAATGTCATGAAGATACACTGAAACACAGGCTACAAATTTAGCTTTAATGAACTAATAATTAACAGAAATTGCAAAGACGTCCACCTTTTGGGAGTGAGGTAATATGTTAAAGCTGAAAAAAGGGAGAAAAATAAGCCTTCACATATTTATGAGACCAAATAGTATTGCACTATTATTGGTAATTCATTCAAACTGTATGTATCGAGCAGACACCTCAGTTTGCAAGACATGAAATGTTGTTAAGCACATAGAATTGTAGACCTTCTGAGTTGAAACTATTTTGTCATTTTTTCTAGATTTACTTCAAACTGTTTTTTAAGACACAACATAAAAAATAAAAAGCAAACTACATTCTGGTGGCTGTAGATGTACTTTGCTTTACAAAACATCACAAACATAAAAACAACCAAAGAAAAGCAAGAAGGAGGCAAGTTATGCATACCGCATTGAAATAGAAATTTAGGAACAACATTTCTTCTGTTGTCTACACACACACACACACACACACACACACACACACACACACACACACACACACACACACACTCTGTTGCAACTTAACTGCACCACTGGGAAACTAAAGGAGTTACCAAAGGAAAAAAAAAAAAGTGGCAAAAAATAGAACGTACGTACCTAAACAACATTTCTCTGCAGTGTGAGCATAGTTTGGCAACTACAATTGTAATGCAGCTGTTAAAGTAATGTTAGGTGATGTGTTTAAATAAGTGGGCAAAAATGCCTTTTTTATACACAGTGATTGTTTCGGAGCTTGTTCTGTAATATCTGTCTTTTCACACACAGTGTCCTGTGAACAGACTGTTATTGTTGCACAAATTTAAATATTGTCTGAATTTTAAGAGGCTCGTGCCGCCTCTGTTGCCCTTTTCTTAGGTGGTCAGAGAGCAGACAGGCCAGAGAGGAGCTGGATTTACACAGATTTAAGAGTGGAAGCTTCACTATGAGAAGGTTCATGGTTACATGCACTTCCCGTGATTATGAAGAAACTGAGAGGACAAGTCAGTAAGGAAGCAGCATGCAAATGAATTAGTTTCTATCTATACTTTGTCAAGTCATTGAAATGTGCCACTAGAACCTCCCTCACTATGGCATACCAAGTAGGAATAAATTCAAATACATGCACCAAAATATTTCCATAAATGTGATGTCAATAAAGAAATATGCATTTGTCTTTGAGAAATTCAAAACACTTCAAAGTACATAAAAACTGAGCCTTATTTTTACCGAAGAATAGTCACCATAAAATGATGACAAATTCCACAAACCAGTTGTGGTTTGGTAAAGACTGAAAGTCTACATTCACAGTCAGATAAACTTCCTTTGTTGCCTAAAATGTGGTTGTTAAGGAAGGATCAGCTCGGCCACTCAGATGTTTCCTAACAGTATCCTGCTGACCACATGTGCCATTGATAAGCAGGACTTCCATTTCTGTCCAAAAAGCAACAACAATTTCCAAAACTTTACAGTCAACAAAAGAAAAACCAAACTCTTAAAAAGCCACAAGAATCCAGTCCCTGTCCAGTGCGTTTAGGGAGAAAAACTCAGCCAGTGTCAATACAGTTACAAATAGGATCGAGCATCTAATGACAGTAATCGGGATCAGCTGTATGGACGGGCATGGCTGCTGTCCAGGGGAATCTATCAGAAACATGTGCGAGGAAAACGCGAGACGGTCCAGCAGATTTCTGACCTGGTCTGAGTCCAGGGCGGAGCAGAGCAGGGACTCCTTCTCACAATGTGAGCGCAAACCCGTCGGAGGAGCTGCCGCCTGCGTATTTCCGTCTCAGAGCAACACTTGGAGGCCCAATCTCAGTTTGTGATAGGAAACACCTACCAAAATGACAAACTGACATCCCGCGTCTCCTCTCACCTCATCTTGTACCTGACCTCTGTCCAAAAAGCAAGATAAATGTTCAGCCAACATGAAATCTGATATAAGGCCATTAATCCCGCCGTGACACCTCACAGAGGCTCTAATCAGCGTCCAGGCTCTTATCTGAAGATGGCTTTCATAATATGTGATTAATAGAGCAGTAATGGCAGGGGACTGCTTTATGCAATTTGTCCTGACTTATATGAATTGAGTATTTTAGAAGAGAGGACTGAGCGAGAATTAGGAATATGACAGGCCGTGTAGCATTACGCACGGCCTGCGTCCAATAAGCGCAGCTGACAAATAGCTCCATATTCCCAGCAGAGCTTCTTTTAACACTGATTATGAAAATGTTTGAGTACAACTTGCCTGTGCGTAGCTGTCCGTCCTCGGTAACACAGATAAATCGTAGGTTGCTGCAAAGTGAGTTTTGGCCTGTTGGATCTGTCCGTAGCGCTCTCTTTTCCTCCACTTTGCTCTTCTGTTCTGAAACCACACCTTGTTGTAAAAAGGAGAAAATAGAGCAAAATAGAACACAATATTTTTGTTAGTTTTTCACAAATATTCAAACGGTTTTGCATCTGAGAACAGCTCCCTCCTACCCGAACTCTCTCATTCAGATCTACACTCCCTCCTGCTCACTACGCTCGACCAACAAAAGACGCCTGATACAACCACCACAACAGGGCCCGAGGTCGATAGCTAGACTCTTCTCCTCTGTGGTTCCCCGGTGGTGGAACGAGTTACCAAACTGTTCAATCTGCTGACTCGCTCTCAGTCTTTAAGAAAAGACTAAAGACCCAGCTCTCCACTGAACACCTTTGCACTTGACAAACTGAAAACAAACAAAAAAAGAACAAAAAAAATCCTATTACCTCCCACACAGCCTGCTATTGGCATCACCGCCCTGACACACTTGAACTTGTTCTATGGCACTTGTCGTTTTCTCCTGACTAGATCCTTGCTTGTGTTGTATCTGCTCCCAGATGTAAGTCGCCTTGGATAAAAGTGTCTGCTAAATGAAATTGTAGAATTGTAAGAAAAAAATAGTCCGAGAAGATTTTGGGATTTTTTTTTTTAAACAAATGCAGGATCTTAAAATCCAAATAAAATCTAATAAAATCAGAAATGCTAAAAGTGTATGTAAAGCTGTGAAATTAATTTATAATATTTATGATATTATTTCGTGGTATATTCTATAAATGTACATAAATTTGGATTTTTACGCACAGCAGCCTCCTCCTCCACGTCCGTGTTTTATCGTCTAAAAAAACCCTGATTTGATTTTATGGCTTCCAGTGAAACTTAAAAATATGAGCTTGGTAATAAACTATACCTGCACTCTCGCCTCTGTTAATTCCGTCCTCATGGCCAGCTGTTCCCTCACATAAACATCTGGATAGTGAGTTTTCTGAAACACTTTCTCCAGCTCCTCCAGCTGCGCGCTGGTGAAGGTCGTCCGGTGTCTCCTCTTCTTGCTGCTGGACACGTTGCTGTCACACTTGTCTCCCATGTCGTCCAAATCGGTTTTCTCCTGTCCGGTTGTCACCGGAGACGCCCGCAGAGTGCAACAATTGTCCATCGACCTGCCGAGGTCCGAGTGCAAAGTGTCGTCGTCTGTTTTTGGCACACCGTAACTGGCTGGAAGGAAGAAGTGACAAATGACCAACAGTAAGTTACACTTGCTGCCCCAGTGGACGCAGCTTCACTGAAAATCTAAAATACAAAACAATCTAAGTTACAGTCATATTATAGGAACATTTTCGAAAACGTGAAATACTTTCAAAATTAATAAAAAAAAAATAACTGAACGCCATGAAGAAAAAAATAAATAAATACAAATAAACGGTTAGATGTTGAATTTTTGAAAAATGTTCCACTTTTCTTTCGTCATTATCTCGCACTCAGATGCAGAGCAGCTGCAATAAAAAAAAAAGTGCGCAAAAAGTCACCAAACCAAGTTTTCTCTCACCGTTCTGGTCTCCGCAGGGCGAGGAGCGGTGCTCGGCGCTCTGCAGCCCGAAGGCCTGCACACATTTGGGGGAAGACTTGGTGAAGTACTGCGCGCTATCCAGGCTCTCCATGACTTGGTCCATGTAGTAATCGCTGGCCTTCATCGCTTGGCTTTTCAAGGCGAACTTATCCTCCATGTACTCCATCATCTTCGCCGAAACTCGCTCGGTCTCATCAAATGACACCATAAAAAAAAAAAAAAGAAGAAGAAGAAACTAATCGCCGTCGCGCACCGATGAGCGGAGAGATGTCTTGTAATGCAATAATTCGCCAATGGAGTTAATTTGCTCCGTCTTGAAGGCAACAACGTCTTTATAGCCCCAAAGAGAATGAGATCCTAAAAGAGCCCCCCTCCTCTCTGAATATGAAGCAGCACCCAACTCCTCCCACGCCCCGAATCCAAACCAAGCAGCAGCTCCAAGTGATTGTAGACCCGCAACGACTCCGAGGAAACAATCAAAACTGACTGTAATTTACAGCATGTTTACACAACCAAAATGAGGCAATAATTTATGTGCGGCGCAGCTACAAGTTGGGATTTAATTTGAGTGTGCGGATGCTGTAGAAGGTCGCTGATCTCTGCTGCTGGTTTTATCTGAACCTGCACTGGAATCAAGTTAACAGTCAAATCTCCTCAAATGTACTTTAACCATGCAGGGAAAAGCGCACACAGAATATTATCTTATTTAGAGGGTTTATTCAGTGACCTCTGGGTTGAGCAATCTGATTTTTGGCTTCTTTTAATAAAAAGCAACAGCTGCTGCCCAATATGTTCAAACAGTGAATTTCAAGCCTCCAAAAGGTCACAAATTTACAGATTTGACGTAAAAGAAAAATATATGCTGTCTTGGAATTACAACGAACTAAAACGGAAGATGTGTTTTTTGTTTTTATTTTTTTGCTGCTTACAGACATTTGCTTTGACTCATTAAAAAAATTAGGATTCTTTTTTTCCCCGTTCTTTATTTGTAGGCGGTTCTCCTACATGACAGAAGCGCAGCCACATTCCACACTTAATTCGCAATCTAACATTGTTTTTTTGACAAACAAAAATAAAAAAACATATAGTATACATTGATATATATTTCCTTTTTTTTTTTTTTTTCCACTCAACACGTTGCAAACTACTAGTTATATTTGGAGTTGCACCAAGAACCTGCAGAAAACGCGCAGTTTTTAAAATATATAGATTTTTTTTGTGTGTGTGAATTTACAGTTTGCATTCCTATTCACTAATGCAGCTATAAAATGTGCATTTTGGGTCAGATGTTTGCAAAAATAACTAAATAAAGAAAAATGCAGTTTTGCCAAAAGGGGAAAAAAGTGAATGTGGTGATGATTCCAGCTAAAGCCTGAACAAGCTGCAAGAATAAACGAACCGCTGCCTTTTGCTCACTCAGTCTTACTCTGGCCTCTGTGAATTAATCCCTTCTGAAAATAAGGCACGAATAACTGACTTATGGTTAATATATTTACATAAATGAAGTATTGATTTTTTTTTTATTGTTTTTTTTTATTTTTTTTTTGGTAGGAATTAAAGCCCAAACATCCTCCTCATCCAGCAACGTTCCATTGAACCCAGGAGTCCTCGGACACACAGCACTCCGCAGGGAGGGTTTTTTTTTTTTTTTTTTCCAAAAAGGAACGGTCTTCTATTTCTTCTTATTGGAGGAATTATATTACCACTAACCAAAGCCCATCTCCCACCTCCTCACCTCCACCCAGAGTCACCTGCAATGCACACCGTGCATAGCTTTGGTTCGCTGTGGGGTCAGTGGCAGTTACCTGGGGCTGCACGGTGCCACAGGAGAAAAAAATAAAAATAAATAGAGGTGCTCTTAAGTAGCGGGAGGGGGGAGTCTTATTGGGCTTCTAAGATGACCTCCATACTAGCTCATGCTGAGGAGAAAATGTGAAAAGTTCAATGTGGTTTGGTGGGCCTTGGGCTGGAAATTCCAGCCACAATAACTGCTGCTGATAAGTTAGTCACCATAGGTTGATCAGTCAGACTAATTCTTTAAGTGCTGCAGCCAATATGTCATGTGAGCCACCTGGAAAGACCTACAGACTCACTTACAAAAAAAAAAAAAAAAGCATGTACTGCCAATTTCTTATAACACTCATCATGGTCAAAATATGATTGAACTGAACTAATTACCAGTCATTTCAGCCTTAATGTGACTGAATGTGGTCCAACACCACCAAACTGAGGCCTGAGAGGCCAAAACATGCCACTTCAGAAGGCAGAAACATGACATCATGATGCCCAGAGCCACGCATGGGTCTAATTCAATCCACTGAAATGTCTTTAAACATTGGCTAGCCACGAAACACAGAAAGGACAGAGTTTATTTTCCCCAAAAGCACACATTTTGTGGAGCTTACAAATGCCGTTTGAGTCTGCAGAACATTTGGCTCACCGAACTGAGTTCTCAGAAAGTGAAAGGAGCGAATTAGAGCTTTAAAAGTGTGTTTTCATTTTGTTTGTTTGTCTTCTGTTTTTTCCAGGAGTGAGGCATTCCTGAGCACTGACAGACTTCAATTCTCAGTCACTTGACCAAGTCACCAAGGCTCATGTTAACATGTTACACAGTTTGGTCACCTGTAGAACGGAGTGAAGGGGTCAGCGGGGCAGGTCCGGCTGAGTCCAGACGCCATCATACAGGACCAGAGCACAACAATGCAACATGAGGAAGATTTTTAACAGCACTTCATGGAATTCAACAGAAGACACAGCAACAACTGGAGGATTTAGGGAAAGCAAGATGAACCAATATGTTAGCATTAAAACAATTTTTCTAAATATTTTAAAATATATTTCATGGATTTAGAAAAAAAGAAAAAAAAAAAACTAGGAGCCTCTGTGATCACTTGGTGTGGGCAGGAGATGCATAAACACATATCGTACCTATAACAGAACAGTGGAGGGTCACAAGCAGATGAAGCTGAAAACAGTTTGTTCAATAATAATTATTGAATCCAGTAGCTACAAGAAAAGTCTGTTTATCATTTAAACACAAACTAGACAAACGTGGAAGAACTTCTGCTCCACATACAAAGGCTAAAATAAATCATGTAATTTCAATAGCTTTCTTCCCATAATCTCTCTTCTCAGATATGTTGCAATTCCAAAATAAATGCACTTCTTTTTATTATTTACTTTAAATTAAAACTAACAACAAAATATGAACCACCTTTTAAAAAACAAATATCAAAAGGTGAAACTTACCTTTAATGACACATTACACACAGATGCATGTGTCTGCACTTACTTACATCAGTGCCTTCTGTTTAACTGTATATTACCAGAGAACTGCACTCTCAGCATTCGGTCTTAATCTTATTTTACAAATGACTTAATAATCTTTCAGTTTCTCTTTTTTGGGTGGAACATTAGCACTGACTTTTACTGGAGTCGTGTACAGAGGAGGTTTTGCTTATGTGAGTTTATTTCCAATTTCTTTATAAGTTGGTTTCACATTTCCAGGAGAGCTTGCACATTCCACTGAGTTTATATCCATTTCCTTTTTCTTTGCTTTGGCTAAAAGAGCTGGCTGCTCGTGTCATGAGGCAGAAATAAATAAGACCAACTCCTCACTCATTTTTCTTTATCAATTACTGCTTTGCATGCTTTAGTATTTTCCCTCCTGAGTAAAGCCATTTATCTCTGTAAAATTAAATAGCTACATCATTTTATGTTTACAGGATTTACCTTTGATCCTCATCACTGTAGTCGTCTTTTTGTGACTGTGTACTTAAACAATAAGACAGCTTTAAGGTGTGTGTAACAGTACTTGCACACATCTATTTGTCTGCTGTATGTCGTTCTGCACTGCCTCTCAGCACAACATGCATCCTCTTCATCATAATGTGACTCAGCAAAGCATTTTTTTTTTTTTGCACTCATGTCGCCAAAAAAAAAAAAAATTGTGTGTGATGCTGATGTATTTTAGACACCTTTCCAAGCAGTTACTGGCTTCTATTGATTGGAAACGACTATTCATTTTAGTATCAGGGTTGTATAAAGTGTATTTGACACATTAACATTGATGAAAGTTCCAAGCGGTAATTTATTTTCAAACATATGGAAATTAATGGAAAGTCATGACTGCCTGGACAGCATCCATTAAAAATGCTTAGTAAAAATGTACAGCATACATAATTTGTAGCTTAAACTTGGACACACACTATTCTGGTCTTTGAAGGCATTTGAAGACAGCACTTGGAGAGATCTGGATACAAAACCTCCCTTTTGCCAGACTGCGTTTGACAGCATTAGCTGATTTGAGGTGAGGTTGGCAGGGCCATTCGGAGCTGAGAGGGACATTCTTCGTCTTATCTAAATGTGTGGTGGAGCACTCATTTCACCAGGCAATGGGTTTTGGATGTCTTAGGTTACATGTAATTTAGCCATAACCCAAAAGTAAACAAATCTAATGAAGATTGGTGGATGATGTTTTAGCCATAGAATTTCAGAAGCAGTAGTTGCAGACAAGAACTTTAAAGCCTTGGCAATTCTGAACTGGTGTCAAATAAAACAATACTAGTGACAAGACATGCATATACAACCTTTTATATCACCTGTCTGGTAATGTTGTATGTACAATCAAAATCTGACTCATCCATTGCCAGTGTAATGCCATACAACCCCTTTGTGTACCCCAGGAGGTTTAAGGAATCCCCCCACTGAACGAGGACAGTGAGCAGGACCACCACATCTCTGGCACACGGCACTCTCCAAGACGAAAATCTGCTCGTGCACAGTCAAAACACATCCTTCAGACGTGTGTGAGAGAACGATAGCAGGAAAATAAACAGACAGGCACGCATTTCCTGCCAGGGAGCCACTCTGAAGCTCTGACTATTTGTTTTCAGATGCATTAACTTATCATTTTCAGGCAGCGGCCCAGCAAGGAACCTCAAAGCCTGAGGTTCACCACCTCTGGTAGGGCAGTGTTTGTGGACAGACGCCTCAGCTCTCCATATTCAAATACACAGACAAGGTTATTATAATCCAGGACTGAAAATAAAGAAAGCAACATTCTAATTCTAATACCAATGTTTGTGCCCAGCTCATAAAAGCAGTAATTTTAAGTTCACCACTGGCTAGCAAGAGCTAAATGTAATCGCAGAATAGGAAAACTGTACT